GCAATAAAAGTAAATATTTGGTCTGGCTTTCGAATTTGAATTTAAACTCCTCATATCAAGTGGACAAACAACAGCTTAATCTAATTCTTCAATGGAACCATGTTTTTAGGTGTAAGAGTCTTTCTCAGCACTTTTCATGATATTTTGCAGGGATAGAAAGCTTTTGGTCCTCCAGGCATTGTGGACTAAACTCCCTACAATTCTTTACTATTTCTTAACCCAGAGCTTCAAAAATATATTTTTGAAAACAAGTTGTTCTTGTTATTCACTGCCCTGTGTAGAAAAGCAATCTTCTGTCGATTCTCATTACAATCTTTAAAAACTGAATTGTTTCACAACTCATTGTACTACTCCTTACTTCTTGTAACTTCCTATTTTAAAACTCTTTTGTTTAGCAAGATAATGAGACAAATCATGAAAAATGGTATAATCATATTGCAGAATACCACATACCACAAGTGGAATTGCTCAAGTGGTTTTCACCATTTTCTGTCCCTCGCATACCCAAGCATGCAACAGATAGTGCAGCTAAGTGCACAAGCCATGTACACCCAAGCCTGCACACACACACACACACACACACACACACACACACACACACACACACACACAGAGATTTCTAAGAATGCTCTCCAGCTCTGATTATGTTTCCTCCACATTCTGTATAATCTACCCTCAATAATGTCAAGACCATCAGACGCTGTAGACGTTCAAATTGTATCTGGGTAGTAGTAGTAGTAGTAGTAGTAGTAGTAGTAGTAGTAGTAGTAGTAGTATCAATGGATCTGACTTCATTCAGTAGCCAAAGCCCATGATTTAGTACTTGCCAACAAAAGCACTGCAGTGAGCTGATGCCAGTTAAGACGTCAGAGCTTTTATAGAGCAGTACAACAGTGGAACCAGTTACCTCGGGAGTTGGTGAGTGCTCCAACATTGGAGGCATTAAAGAAAAACTGAGATAATCACCTGACAGGTATGCTTTGATTGTATTCCTGCATTGAGCAGAGGGTTGGACTTGATGGCCTTGTAGGCCTCTTCCAACTTTTCTATGTTTCTGTGATTTTTGTTGTGTGGCAAGTCAGGTGACTGGTGTATGATAAGAAATACAATTGCTGTTTTCTTAATCAATGGCAGTTCGATACTGAGATGTATACAGTTGTATTTCCAATGCTGTGTAAAGTAATAGGATTTACTTGTTGTTATAATATTGCATTTCCTATTTTTCAGCATTGCTGGTGTATGTGGTGGACCAAAGGGTTCAAGTCTAAAATTTATGGGTCAAGTCCTAAAAATTTGCAGGTGAGGAAAATCATGGATCTTTGAATTTCAGGAAACAAGTTAGCAGCTATTGACAATTGTTTTAAACTATTAACTAAAGTAGTGGCAATGTGTTGCTGCTGCATGACTTTTGTAAGAAGATTTTGGTCATCACTATGATGTATTAGAGAGAGAGAGACAGGCAGAAGAAGACAACAAAAATATTAAGAAAGAAAACAACAGTTAACCACAAAGACAAGAAGTATAAGAAACTCAGTTATATGTAGAAAATGCTGTGTATGTTTTTGAGAGTTAAATGGGAATGGGAATAATTAATTGTAATGGGGAGGGGGATCTTGAAATCTGTTGTTCCAAAATGTTACTTTCAGTTTTATGCTGAGGAGATGATGAATCTGTTGATTGCCATCAGATAGCAGACTGTTAACACTACAGTATCAAGAGTCCCCCCCAGATAGTAAGAACATGCCCTGTCTGTCTTCCTGCCGGAAATACACTCTTGTTGAAAATTCAGTTCAGGTCACGGTTACATGCCTTCCTTTCTTCAGAAAACAAAGTAGTTGTGGGACATGAATTAAGAGGTCAATTGTTTTGTCACTGAAGCTGAAAATAACTTCCCTGAGGCAAGGTATCTGAAACTGAGCCTTTAAATGTTTTTGACTCTCCAGAGCATAGAAGACCTTTGAAAGGAGAACTTTTGATGCTTATCAAAAAAGAGCCGTCAATTGCATGTTGATTTATTGTATCAGTTGGTGTTCCCTCTTTCCCAAATTGTACTGTTTTTTTCTGAACAGAAAAGATAGGTATCTCCATGACCCATATCTGCTAAATAAACAAAGCTGAAAACCTTTCAACCTAACCATATTAAGACAAGAGTGCCAGGAATCTTGCTCTTTCCCCCACCTACTCCCTTGGCACATCAATTCAGATTTACTGAATTGTGATGTGAAGTAAACACAATCTAATAAGTGTTTCAAACATCAAAATGATTTCAAATTCCAGTTGTGCCAATTTGATAATTCTTCAGGGTTAATTCTCCATCCAACTCAGCATCAAGAGCCACTATATCTTGGGGGCAGAGTGTGTGAGGAAATTAAATGTGGTTTTAACAACAACAACAACAACAACAACAACAACAAACAACAAACAAACAAACTAGTACATAAACTTCCTTTAATTGCGCAAGTCATTCAGTCAAGAACATACAAAGCAAACTGGCTTCAAGTCCCCTTCAGTAATCACCCCTTATTTGTTAGTCAATCATTAACTCAAGGGATTCTGATGAGAAAGAATAAAATGTTTCTATTTACTTACAATTCTTCAGAGATAAAAACAAACATCATACTGTGTGAAAATGTTAACTCTTTACATCACTGAGCTCAACTAGTTAACTAGCTTCATTACTGATGAATTGACTGGTTACATTGCTGACAGAACACTTCACTCTATTTACTTCCTACAGACTCCATTACTAACGCTTACAGAACCCTGACTAACTGTAAAAAGGCAGGAAAAGGATCTGAGATAGAGAAGGAACTATTGGCTGATACTGGATTGATGAACATTAAACTCCAGTCCAGAAAAGTCCGTCCCAGCAAAAACCTCTCGATAGGCATCATATGTAGGTTGCCATACTTTTATTTAGAGCACCTTATTGGGGGATTCAGAGAGCTGTAACTCTGTGTATTCACATATTTTTGCCTTCTTGTCTGCTTTTGAACAAATCACTTTTGGAAACTATGGCTGAAATTTGGTTCACCAACCATGGAATATTTGGAAATTAAATACTGCCCCACTCTGATCCCACTTCCCTCAGTGGAGCTCCCCTCAGACAAAGGGGATTCAACGGGTGCCTTGGGACCTTGGCAGTGGGGAACCAGAAATGTTTTATTTCTGAAAAACTGCTGCAGCCGATGATGTAATCAGCTTTCCACAGTGTAGCTCCACAAACAGGATTTCGGCATTGCTATGCTTCTAATTTCTTCTTAAATAATTGATGGGGGTGTGTGTTAAAATATTCTATTGTCATTTTGGTTAATATTACTGAGACCCACTTTGGGTTCCATCTTTGGGAGAAAGGCAGAATATAAATCTAAATTAATTAATTAACAAAGAGCAAAAAATATATACATTTCCATGTGACACACCAGCTTTCTGAACCTCCTAATATTTATCAAACCTGGCCAGGTGAATTACTATTGTTACTCCTTCACAGTGTAATGCTTTCTAGCAAATATGCTGAATCTGATGGCATATAAATGTTTATCGTTAAACAGATACAAGCCGGACTTGAAGCATTCTCCTGCCCACAACATGGCGGACAGTTGATACTGTGTGCTGGTCCGATCTCTTTGTGGGCTGGTATTTGTTTTCTTTTGTTTATTTATATTTAATTATTTTTCGTCTCACTTGATCCTGATTTCAACCAGTGTTATGTAATTGGAGAACTCCTCTCCACCATCCTAATGGGATGGCTTTTAGCATTAAAAAAGTGTGAGCTAGTCCATGCTCCGTATTTGCTAAGGACAAAGCGAGCCAAAGCCAGTATTTCAGCAAGTGACAGTGATGGCTGTCAGAGGGATGACACATCTCAGGGGGTGAGTGAAAGCCTCGGGCTGGGTGTTCTTCTCAGGAGATCATGGGAGGCTCTGAGTGGTTCCCCACCACCTGACAACGTTACCGTTGCTAACATCTAGAAAATCATGGGAACCGAATGACTGACTCATTCATGATGGACAGACTAATTCCATCAGGACCTGGCCAATTTGATTCCCGAACAGCAAGTACATTCAGGGTCTTGCCGGAGCACCAGATCAACATCTCATTGGAATTTCCATCTTAAACTTTGGACTAGGCTCCCACGACAGGGGCAATATGTGCTTGTTGGTCCTCCCTGACCTTTCAGCAGCCTTTGATATCATTGACCAGTCAATGTGTCTTTTAACAAAACCTGGAGAGAAGACACCTGTCCTTGGAATGTCTTGAGACAAATCCTGTTTATTTCCAAAAGGCATTATAAGGAGTCATACTATAAGCTTTACACATTTGCTCTTCCATTAGATTCCAACTCTGGCATAGAGGCCTCTAATCCAAAATAAATATCTGTACTACTTACCTGTTTTCAGACTTGAATCGGAGAGCTGAAGGCCTTTGCAATGCAGAGATCTGACAGTGACCATGAAGTTTAGGTCAGCAAGATGAAGGGTCAGCTTGAACATGCTGAGTATTGTGCAGCCACTATTTTAAATTACACCACATGAGCGGGTTGCCTGGTGGCACCTCATAGATTCCCATCTGTATTTCAGTATTTGCTGCTGAGCCAATACATGAGGTATAATTACCTTATTAACTACAAGTGATAGACAATGGGAAGGTGAAGTGAGATAGTGAAAGGATGCGGGGGGGACAACCTACCCTTTGGAGGCTGTAGGGAGGGAGAGGGGTAGCTCCAGCGCAGCCAAGAAGCAGGAAGAAAAAGGGAAGCCCTGGAGTTTGCTGCCAAAAATCATGGCTTAGTGTAAACATGTGAAGGCCTCTTTAGAATGTCCTTATCGTGGAGAGCCCTGGAGCTTTCGTGCTCTGCAAGTTTTCAAGCCAGCAGCTGTCTAGCAGCCAGCCAGGGCAGAAAGACTCTCTAATGTGGATGTTTAATACAAAGAAAAATACAAGCAAGCTGACCAGAAAGACTGGAATTTCAGCTCTCCCCCCCCCCAATCGCCCTACCTCCTTATATTCTCCCTCCCCCTCTCTTCGAGCAAGTCCTTCACAGATTGTTGGGTCAGTGACTCTCATTATTCTTCACAAGCCAGCGTCTTCTTCCGCTGGAGCTCCTGAATGGACACACTCACCTGTAAGTACTATTCTCTGTTCATGGTGCAGAATTTATGTCTACAGTGCTTCGATGCTAGTGGGGTGGTAGATAAATCAAACTAAAAAAATTAATAAATTAGGCTGTCCAAAACTATGCTTGTTCTAGATTGGTAGAGGTTTACCTAAACTTTGTTTTCTGAGAGGCTGTTAGGACAAGGGATAGATCATTGTAAGAGGGGACTGTGGAAGTTCTGACAGTGGGATGAACAGTACAGTGATTTCAATGTTTAATCAGAAGTAACGGTATGGCTAGTGAATAGTAAATAGAGTTTTACTCCCTTATATGAATTCTCTTGGTTTACTGGTTTATGAATTTAAGGCAAGATCAGCTCCAGACTCGTCTGCCTTCAGCAATCCATGCAGCAAGATCTTCTGCCCTCTCACTCTCTCAGAGGTTTTACTTTGTTCTTAACCTCCAAACCCAGAGATCTCTTCCTGCCATACAAACACACAAGTGACACACAGATATGCATTTTGGCACACACACACACACACAAAACAGAAACCCTGAGCAGTTTCTTTTCTGGTAATCATTTTGTTGAGCACTACTATATACGCTGCACATTTTATTTTCAAAGATGGCCAAAATTGCTTAGCAGCCTCTAAGAGCACCACAATATATTGTCTACCACCCATTTACTTGATTAAGTAACTTCATGTCCCAAGGGCAGGGTAAAAAATGATAACATTAGTTAAAAGTGATTTTTTGCAACAAGAGTGATGATAATGGTGGTGATGAAAGAGATTATTTTTCTCTTTTCCTTTTAAAATTTCCAGCCAGTTGTGGATGTAGACTTCAATCTGAAAACCACAACAACACTTAGTTGAGAGTAAGCCCATCAGCACAGTAGACTTACTTTGGAATAAACAAGACAAGGAATGCATGCCACTTTTCCTCAGCTCTGCACAGCATTGCTGTCTCATCAGCTGCAAATAACTTTATAATCTTTGGAAACAACGACTCATTCATGTAAAGTGTGTATTTGCTACATATATCTGTTACCATGCTTCAAAAGAAAGTGCAGGAGAAACCTTTTTTAAAATAACATTTCCATTTTGAGAAAGGAAAAAAGGTAGAACACAGAATTATGTTTTATTTACTTATTGCACGGAGCAGCAGACCTTAAGAATCTAGCGATGAGATTTTTGACTTGCAGAGGCCATCTGGGGGTGAGACAAGGAAGGCACCCCTTAATGTATTATTTGCCTCTGAAGTGTTAACTGCTGGGTATACAACTCCATTTTACTGTTTTCTGCATTCAGAGAAAATGAACAGTTGTGATGTAATTTGTTAAGGATAACTCTTTTTTTCTTTTTTCTTTTAAAAAGAGAGTCAACTGTATGGAAATATTCTGCTTTAGTTCAGGTATCTGAATGTTGTTATGTGTCTTAAGTAAGGAAAGGAATTACAAACTTATTTATAAAATTGTGGCTTCATTCTTCCATATGAGTTTTTACTAGGAATATAAATCTTCATTTCTCCTGTCCTTGAATGTGAGGAGGAGAAATAACTTCTTTCCCCTCCACAGTCTGTGAGATGCTTCCTGGTGCTCTTAAGGCCAGCTACATTACAGTGGACCCTCGACTTACAGACAGCTCGACTTAAAGACTTTTCGAGTTACAGACGTCTCTGGCCGCAAAATTTGAGTTCAACTTGCAGCCGGAGAATCGACCTACAGACCAGAAAAAAAAACCCAAAATGGAACAAAAATGGCTGCTTACGGATTAATCGGTTTTCAATGCATTGTAGGTCAATGGAGATTCGACCTACAGACTTTTCGACCTGCAGCCACCGTTCCAATACGGATTAATTCCGCAAGTAGAGGGTCCACTGTATCAAGAATATATATATTTTTGTGTCAATTCCACAAGGTCTGTAAATGTTGTAATTTGTGCACCTTGCACATCTGCAACAGCTGATACTTTCTTGCACGAATTTTTAGAAACATCCAATAGGTTGTTTGCATCTTTTTAAAGCAATCAGCCAACTCTCTCTGCATGTGTATGTGTGTGTGTGTGATTTGCTTCTCAAAGGAAAAGGACTGAGTTTTGTACAAGCTGCATTTAACACAAATGGAAGAAACCTGAAAAGAGGGGAAAGATTCTTTATCTCACTCTTGCATGGGGAAAAAGTAGTCTTGTAAGTCTTGAAAATTCCTCCTTTAGGAGTTTTGTCATGCCATGACAGCCTAATTTGAGGGAAGGATTTAATTAGTGTTCTTCACACCTCTGCTTTCTCCAGATACTTGATCAGCAACCCTCCAAAGTCATCTGCTTCCCCAGTAACCCATAATCTTTTGTAACTCATAATCTTTAATACATAATCTGTCACACTGGAATGGAAGAGGCACTTAATCTCATTACTCTAGTCACAGTTCTAGGTTATACTGTATTAGAAGCAGAACTCAGTTTTCTTTGCTCAGCAGTGCTGAGTTATGTTTGATATAGAACTACGACTAAATCAATGGTATTATTGCCCCACAAGAGTGTGTTATTGCTGCATGAGAGTGCAACAATGAACTTGTGCTGGTAAAGCAATCAACATTCTATAAAGCAGTGATTCCCAACTCTGGGTCCCCAGATGTTCTTGGATTAAAACTCCTGGAAGCCATCACCACTAGCTGTACTGGCCAGGATTTCTGGGAGTTGTAGTCCAACAACACCTGGGGACCCAAGGCTGAGAACCACTTCTATAAGGCAATTCTTAAAATGTGGATAGCCCAACCAAAATTTTATAAAACTTAAACTGGGCTTCAGATCAGAAAGTAATGGAGTGATAGTCCTCCAGAAATAAGGATTGCCATGTATGTTCAGTAAACATTCAGGATTTCTAATAGTCTCCTCTTGTAAAATTTCAAAAGGAAAATCAGCTCAACATCTGAGGCAATCTGAACTTTTGATACTGTCAATCAGAATGCAATTAGCTGGCTCATAGCTATTTTTTAAACTCCTTCCTGGCCAAACAGGTTTATCAGATGTGCTTGCAAGGGGATTCTGTGTCTGGTTATAAAAATGGAGACACAAAATTATATTAATTTAAAAAAATACAGATGTTTAAAATATTTTTTTTAAAAAAAGAAGAACATAGAACACATATTCAGAAGCTCACTCATTTAAACTGCAAAATCACTGGGGCTTTTTTTTTGTTTTGCTTTGTGGCTGGGAATACCAGGTTTCCCCAAAAATAATTATTTTATTATATTAATTTTTTTTCCTCCAAAAAACACAATAGGGCTTACATTCAGGGGATGTTGTATTTTTTTCATGTACAACAATCTACATTTATTCAAATACAATCATGTCATCTTCTGGTTGCTGCACAATGCTGCACAACGGTGGAGGGCGGGGTTTCACTTAACTAGGGCTTATTTTGGGGGTAGGGCTTACATTATGAGCATCCTGAAAAAAAATCATACTAGGGCTTATTTTCAAGTTAGGTCTCATTTTGGGGGAAACGGGGTAGTCTTACTTGATCTTAGCAAAGCTTTGGTGCCTATATCATAGTCTTCTGTCTCCATTTCACCTATCATGTCTCTATACAATTGCTTGGTTTAAAAAACCTCCAAAGATATTATGTGCCATTAAGTAACTTTTGATGTGTGGTGCCTATATGAATTAGTTATCTTTCAGATGTCCTATCGTTAACAGCTGTCCTCTCCTCCCTACTTGCCCCCCCTTCATTCCTAACAATATTGTCTTTTCAGTGAGTTCCGCTCAGGACTTGCAAACTAGCCGCTGTTCCTGTCTTGAGTCAATACATTTCATGCTAGCTCTTCCGCTTTTCCTACTGCCTCCTCTTTCCCCCCAGCAATATTATCTTTTCCAGTCAGTTCTGTATTTTCTATATGTGTAGAGCAGTGTGGCCTCAATTTATTATTTTTGCTTTAGTGGGAGTTCAGACTTGATTTGATTGAGCACCCACTTATTTTTGCTTTAGTAAGAGTTCAGACCTGACTTGATTGAGCACCCACTTATTTGCTTTTCTGCTGGTCTGTGGTGTCTTCAAGGCTTACCTCCAACACCACATTTAAAATGAGTTGATTTTTTCCTTGTCTTTATTCACTGTTCACAGTATGAATCACTTTTACATAGTAGGGATGATTTTAACCTTGGTTTCAAGTGACAATTTTTGACAACTCCCCCCCCTTTTCTTCCAAAAGATGAGAGGACATCTTTTGAAAAACGTGCACACAACATGTTTGTAGCGCAAAGGTTTGCAATTTGGAAGATAGCTTTCTAACTCCCCCCCCCCTTTTCTTCCAAAAAATGAGAGGACATCTTTTGAAAAACATGCACACAACATGTTTGTAGCACAAAGGTTTGCAATTTGGAAGATAGCTTTCCAGTCTACATTCTGTGAAGCAGGCATGCTAAAGAATGTGTATGTTTCTCTGTTGTGTGTGTTGCACACCCTCAAAGTTTTGCTTCACCATTCCATTGAGTCCAAAACAGCCCTTCGAAACATTTTGTCGCAGAGGGACTGCAGCCACATCCCTGTTGTACTGGCTTCTGTTCTCTTCCAGCAACCATAGTACAGATTGTGTATTCATCTTCTGGGATCCTCTAGCACTGGATAATTCTTCATGAGGGAAGTTTCTGTTGAAATTTGATTATGTGGTGCATGTATGCTTAAACCTCTATTTAAAAAGCCCAGGCAACTCAATTCTTCAAAAAACCTGTTTTGTGAATGTATGATATTATATTTCTGTATCCATGACTGAGAACACCAGGAAATAGGAGGATACTCCTGCACATTGTGCCAACATTACCAGCAGGAAAAGGGATGGCAATCTTTACATACCAACGGGCAGCTTGAATGTTGATGGCCTTCCTCTCAGCAGTTGAGATGGCCTACAGCAGGAGTTCCGAACCCCCGGTCTGCAGCTCAGTGCCAGTCTGTGGCCTTGGTAGGACCGGGCCGTGGAGAGAGATCTCCCCCCCACATTCCTGCACATTGTGCCCACATTACCAGCAGGAAAAGGGATGGCAATCTTTACATACCAACGGGCAGCTTGAATGTTGATGGCCTTCCTCTCAGCAGTTGAGATGGCCTACAGCAGGAGTTCCGAACCCCCGGTCTGCAGCTCAGTGCCAGTCTGTGGCCTTGGTAGGACCGGGCCGTGGAGAGAGATCTCCCCCCCACATGCACTCCCCGCATGCACACACGGCTCGCTGACCCGCATTGCATGGGTGCCTCTCCCACCCTAGTGTGCGCGCAAGCACACCCTGCCCACCTGTGAGTGTGGGGGACCCCAACCCCCTTGTGAATGGACCTCACCCCCCCCAACCGGCCCGGGGTTCAGAAAAGGTTTGGGACCACTGGTCTACAGGGTACAGGTAATGCAAAAAACCTGTCTTCACTGCAATATTGGCTGGGGATATGCTCAGCTTGTTAATGGATATGATCCAGCATGATTAATGAAGCTGTCATAAGAATGATAGCTTGACCAATTACTTCTTACACTGGTTTAAAGATGGCACATCCACCAAAATGACATATTTAAATAATGCTCATAGTAGGAAGGGATAACAATTTGCTGGCAGGAAATGACTTCCCCTGCAGTAGGAGGACCATGCTTTGAAAATGTGTGGCTCCTTCCTCCCCCCTCCCAATATCTAGCAGCCTTTTATTGTATTGGACTTAACGCTTCTAAACAGAAAAGTGATGGCAGGAATGTCTTCACAACTGGCAACATGAACCTTAGCAAAGCATCCTCTGGCCTATTGTTTGGCCAAGTAAAAAACTGGAATAAGCAACATTCAAGAAACTTTTAAAACTTCCTAATGAAACAGCTTAATTGGACTGCCATTGCTGTTGCCAGTCTCCCCGGCAGCTTTTTGAAAGGCTTCTATAAGTTGGTTGTGAAGGAAAACTGTGGCTGTGTTTCCACTGATTATCAGATACACTTTGCCTGCCTGAGTACATGAAGTTTACACACAGACAACACCACACATTCAGTGTTCTTTCTTACAGCTTGCCATGTTTGAAGAGCAAACACTACATACCATGCAAAAGAATTATAAATAAGCTTCTTTTTCTTTTCTTTTCTTTTTTCGGAAAAAGTTCATGTACACCCTTTAAGAAAGGGCTTTTCAGTAGGGAACAGCACTGGTTGTTCCTAAGGGGAGCAGAGTTGAGACTCATCCCTGTAGTATTCAAAGAATGTCTGTTTGAGTTACAAACAGAACCAGGAAAGTTACTTTTCAAAGATAAGCAATTATAGTTACAAGGTCTAGAAGAAAGCTGCCATTATAATTACATTGTTAAACTTTACTTTCTAATTTCCCAAAAGTAACTAAATGAGTAACTTGATTTTTTTTTAAAAAATCTGAATACAGAAGCATGAGACATGGCATGAGCCAGCTCTTGCGCTATACAATATTCCTCCTCCACTGTTTAATGATGTCATGCACACAAATCAAAAGTTATAAAATAATTTTTAAAAATATTACCAAATTCTTATTTTGGCCATACCTTTCTTAGAACAACCATTTTTATTTTCTTGCTCTCTTTTCTTTTCGCTTGCTCACATGAATGTCTTTTCTTCTTCCTTGTTTTCTAGCATGAAAAAACACATGCCATACCTCCTGTGCCAAACTGGTTGATTTTTTTTTCTAGTGTTATGGGGAAGAATTATATAAGAGAAGCCCCCATTACACTGAAAAATATATATATACATCCAGTTTAGCATAGGAAGTTTGGGGTGTGTTTTCTCATGCTAGAAGAGAGTTTGGGCAGTTCCCTGTTGTTCAAGCTGGGACTAAATAAAATGTTAGGTGGTTTTTTTTTTCTTAAAAGGGAGAATTTGTTTTAACTTCACATGAAACATTAGTGTGGGATCAAAGTATGTTGATTTATTTACTGTTATATAACAAAAGCTGCCCTCCAGGCTCTACTGCCACCGTGGTCTACTGAGTGGGTGGTACGATAGGATTCGCAGAAGGCAGTTGACTGATCTAGTTCCCACAGACCAAAACCACAAAGATGACTGGATTTTAGTGGTGGTTTTATCTTTTTTCCATCCTCGGCTTTAATATATTATCACTGCCTCCCTGTCATGATAGTTTGTAAATCTTCGCATACCAAGCTGGGGGAAAGATCCCCTGGTCAGCATGTTTATTTAAAATATTCTTACCCCACCTTTCTTTAAAAAAGGACCCAAGGCAGCTTATATCATTAAAAGGAAACAATATTAAAAGTTAAAAACAGTAAGTTATTGGAATATTAAACAGTGTATTATAAATATTAGATAAAAGCATTATTAAAAACAGATTTAAAAGCAACAACCACAAACCATCCTATCAAAAGGGAAACCCGTCTCAGAGAGCCAGTCACTAAAGGGACAGCCCTGCCTAAAGAGGAAGGGCAGCAACAAGCATTGCCCTCAGGTGGGGGTGGATTCCCTAAGGCTTGTTCATCCCTGGATGCCGGCCACTGAGGTAGTGGCACGCATAACTGCTGAAGCCACGCTGTTTTGAGAATGTGCTCAGGTTGTTGTTGCTACTAACAAGAGGTTTCTCAGTATTTTTAAATTTAAATATTCCATATTCTAGCCTATTGGGGGTGTGTGTGTGTCTCATGGCTGAACTAAGAGACACCCTCGCCATCCCAGCCTCTCTTTGCTTATTGCCAGATGTAGAACTCCACTCATTTCCTACCACAGACTAGAAAGTTTTAAATTCTCTTTTAATATTTGTATACTTACTGTTTTTAGCTTTGAAATCATATCTTTTAAATAATGCAATGTATTTTAAATAAATAAAGTTGGGCAACACCAACTTTTGACCCCAATCTGGTGTCTTCTTGGACATCTGTTCCTGTCAATCAGCAAGCATAGTTAACAATGGGGGATTACTGTAGTGTATTGTCCAAAATATTTGTAGGAGATCAGATTTCGGGGTGGGTGGGAGCAGCCATACAGGGACATATGTAGAACAGAAGACAATTTGTTTTTTTCCTTTTTTCCCTCCAGGCTGCCAGTATGCCACACATGACGTCTAGAAGCAACAGTTGTGAGCAAACAGGTGAGTGAAACTTTAGGACAGAAGAAACAATGAAGAGGGTCTGTTCGCAAAGCTGAACTAGATGGTTCCTTAGCAGTTTTCTAAGCATTAATTAAATTACTGTTTTAGATGCTGGCTGAAATTCTGTTGCTCACTGTAGTAAGTTAGAAAAGACTAGAAAAGATTCACTGAATCAGTGAGGATTTGGTGAGTCAGCTCCTGTTGCTTAGTGTAGTGAGACTTACTGTGCTAAGCAACAGGGTTTTAGCGGTTACTAGAATCTCCTGGTCAGCATGGGAATGAAGCCTCTGCTTCGTTCCTGAAGGCCAGTCATAAAACAAAGCAAGCTGATTTGCTGACTACAGGGTTGGCAGGAACTCCAGCTTTCAGACTGTCAGATGCTTTCAGCATCCGAGGAAAAAACCCCACCCCTGCTTCTAAGGACAAGTTCATCTCCTGGATGAATAATGGTGAAAAAGTAGGACAACGACTGCTGCCAACACTGGAATCTACATTCTTCGTCCCAGCTGTTCCTCTCAATAAGAACACTGCTAATCCATAAAGCAACTGCTCTTGAGTCATCAAAACTTGCATTCCAGTGCAGACAAGGCCTATATCCTGCCTTTTTTAAAAAATGAATCCATTTCCAGTATGTTATATCAGGTTGCTTTATAATCAATTTAAGGTCTATGAGCCTGTTCCTGGACTCTCAACATGTTTTTCCTGGAAGAAGCTTCTTCTGAGAAAAGTTTTTGAGATCCACATCTGTACAAAGATTCCATGTTCTGTTGTTAATATACACCACAACAGCTCCCCCTGCACACATTGCATTAAATGACAAAATCAGTGGCATGATTCCCTTGTTACTCTCCCCATCCCCGGTAATTTATCAGAGATAACATTGTTATGTGTAATGCATCATTTTCATGCTGTGATAAAAAGAGGATATGTGAGTCCCCATCACAGTTCCTTCCAAGGCTGGCCCTGTTAACAAGCAAAGTAGAGCTGCATATTTAAAGGACCAAAATATGAAGGGCTAATTAGATAAGATTGCAGGATCTTATTTGCTAAATCCATATACATCAATGCTTATTGCAAATGAAATTCAGGTTTTTCAGAATTGGCACTGATCCATCTCCGTAGCACAGCCATTTCATGGCCACCTATTGGGTAAAGTTCCCAGATTTGGGGAAAATATAGGTCTTTGTTCTAATTACTGGGATAGATCCATGAACTTACTAACCTGAAAGTGTTCTGAAAAGCTTCTTTATCCATTTTTCATTGTAGAAGATACATGTTCCGTAAAGGACACTGATTTAGATGGTGAAGCTTCTCTGGAGCAAATATAAGAAGTATCTCCTTTTCCAAGAGGAGTCCTCCCCTGCTAACGCTATGGAGAGCAGGTGGTTCCTTTTGCTCTTTGTCCTGCACATGAGAGGCACCTGCTGCTCTTTTGTCAAAGTGAATAATGGAATTAAAGTGATGAAGGGTCAGTCGGTCTTCTTGTCCGAAGAGGATTTGCAGTTTTCCATCCCCAGAGAGAAGGATGCTTGCAAAGTTGAAGTTGTGATGAATGAGCCAATCACACAAAGGGTTGGGAAGTTAACCCCACAGGTATGTGGAATTTGAATTTCACTGTGTCATCACCGCTACCTGGTAAATCACTTTTAATGGTCATCTGTCACACGCTGCATGGCCATAATTTTATGATGGATGTGTGTGTAAGTAAGTGTAAGAGCAAGAGAGATGCGGGGGAGAAGAAGGAAAAGGGTGCTGGCAATGACTTGGAGTCAAGTGTTATTGGAAAAAGGAGGTGACTTAATTCTCATGTATACCATTAGCTTCAATTCTTAACAAAACTAGATTGTTATTTAAAAGCAGATAAACGTATTGTCCCAAATCAGAACAACCTTTATCCTATGAGTATGGTCTCAGCTACCTGTTGAAAAGAACAGAGGAATAGTATCTGATTTGTTTCCATTGGTATTAAATGAAATGACACTTTGCCCTCAGGCTCATCAAATCTATGGAGGTTTTGTTTTGTGGTATTCATTAAGACCTATGTTAAGACCCCGAAGTGTAGCTGCCTTTCGCTGTGTGTAACCAGTGTCGGCAGGGCATAGCACAGCAGTATGGGACTCTCTACCACCTTTCCTCTCCTGATTAGTCTTGTAAACATTCCCATCTGGATTTAGTTATGGAAAACTATTAGAAGAAAGCAATGTTGGTTTGACGTGATTACTGATAAAAGCTAGAGGTAACCATAAGAAGTATACCATTGACATTAAAAGCAGCAACCTGCCATTTCCTCTTTGATGGGAAAAGTTGATTTTTTTTTGGCAAGAGATCCCCAAATCCCGGAACTGGCACGGCATATTTCCCCACTATGGTATCCACTTGGATAGGAAGTTTTCCCATCTCTATATCTTCTACTCTTCCAGCCTGGTACAGAAACAAAATATGTGAAGTCTCATAGTTGCACATCAAGTTTGTTTCTGTTTCTTGCCACCTACAAGAGACATGGTGGGAGAAGACTGGCCATGCACATGCCATGCAGACAGGGTCTATTTTGGCCTTGAAACTGGTGGGGAACAGGTGATGTGGAGATAACAGTATAGACTCCATATAAATGGCTAAGTCAACATGCTGATCTGATGGAGTGACTCAAAATGGCCATTCCTTCCTTTTTGGTGCTTTTTGAGAACTCCATTCACAGCAGCCAGTTTTTGCAGCTGGAAAGTGTTTTTGTTTCATTTATTTTTCAGCTTCCTTAGGAAAATAACATTTCTTAAGTGAGCACATAATATAATAAAATGATCATTAAACAGTAATTACATCAGTGTAAAGTATCATTTCAGAGATAGTGCTAAAATCAGACATAAAAGTGTTTCTAAAGGCTTTAGCACAGTAGTTCCCAACCTTGGGTCCCAGATGTTCTTGGACTAAAACTCCCAGAAGCCTTCAGCTCTAGCTGGGCCTGGTTGGGCTGCCCAGGAGCTGTAATACAAGAACATCTGGGGACTCAAGACTGGGAACTACTGCTTTACCAGGAACAGGAAGGCTTTTGGAAAGCTTTCTAAAAACAGGAAGTGGGAAGGACTGGTGAATCTCTGAGCTCAATCACAGTAGTAACCCCTCCCCCCAATTTAAATCGAGTTCAGCATGTTTACATCTATTTATATTTGGGCATTTACACGAGGTATGTACATGCACGAAATAAAGTGACAGGGGAGCATTTTTTTTTCTATTTTTCCACCAGAGGTTTATTTTAAGGCAAGTATGAATACTCCTTACCATATTATTTTTTTTTAAAAAATCCTGTTATCAGATACAACACTATACCGGATGAAAAGAATTAAAACACAAATAAAAAATATTGCCCCTCTTTCCCTTTTCACCCCTTTCCCTCTCGTCCTTCTCCCCCTCCTAGATAGCATTCTCCCCACTCCCCCTGTCCTGGCCGAGCAGAGCTACCTGCTTGGAGGTGGCAGGGATGGAGGCAGTAGCAGCAGCGGTGAGGATGCAAACACTAACCCAAAAGCCATGTGCTCTTACACTGAATTGAAATAAAAAGCTCCCTCTCCTGATTTATTGCATCATTGGGTTCAGGCTCTCTGACAGAATCATATTTTTTTTGTTACAAAGATTCTTGTATTTTAGTGAGAATCTACTGTACATGAACTATAGGTCCAGGTTCTTCTCGTCCAACATAATCAACAGCACAGAGGCACAATGCAGGAAATGCGGTGGCTACCAGCCACATGTCCTGGAGACTGTCTACAGCACCGGAGGCCAAATTTGCTTGCTTAAATTGGGCTTTCTGAATTTCAAGAACTGTGGTCTGCCACCACAATTTAGTGGTGCAATTGGGAAGGTATTTGAAAGAGGCACAACAGTGACATTATGGACAGCATGTGGCCAATGGTCCTTATGATTTGTACTCCTGCCAGACAGCACTGCTTTTTCACATTAAATGGAATAGTCTCGATTATGGAGATCAAAGCCAGTTACAGCCAGGAACACCTTCTGTATCTTGGAGCTCTCTGGATGATAATTGCATGCTGAAGGTATTTTAAAATACCTTTTAAAAACTGTTTAAAAACTGAGCACCCTTTCCCCAGCAAACCAAACCTTACCTTCTGGCCGTTTCATATATGATGAAGGCAAGAAACAACATTCCCCAGTCTATAGGCTCCAGAAAATCCAGGGTAATATGCAGTTACATATATTAAAGGAAATCCTGTAAAACTCACACCTTGGATAACCTTCAAGAATGGGCAGGGTTCTATTACCATGTTTCCCCAAAAATAAGACAGGGTCTTATATTAATTTTGCTCCCCAAAACACATTAGGGCTTCTTTTCAGGCAATGTTTTATTTTATAGTCTTGTCATCTTCAGGTTGCTGCACAATGTTGCACAATGGTAGAGGGTAGGGTTTAACTTAAAAGGTAAAGGTTCCCCTTGACATTTAGTCCAGTTGTGTCCAACTCTAGGGCACCGTGCTCATCCCCGTTTCCAAGCTGTAGAGCCAGCGTTTGCTTGTAAACAGTTTCTGTGGTCGCATGGCCAGCACGACTAGACATGGAAAGCTGTTTACCTTCTCACCGAGGTGGTACCTATTTATCTATTTGCAATTTTTATATGCTTTCCAGCTGCTAAGCTGGCTTATTTTTTGGGGTAGGGCATATATTACAAACATCCTGAAAAATCATACTAGGGCTTATTTTCAGGTTAGGTCTTATTTTCAGGAAAACAGGGTATATATGCTATAAATATGTCAATAAGTATCTCTTTGCCTGTAATTTGAGCAGCATGAAGTTGTTGATTCTTGCATACCTCAGTGGGGTGCAGTGCCTGGTTACAGAGAGAGCCATCAGAATTCACAACCCCATTGTGGCTCCCAGGGAGGCACCAGTCAGGATCACCCAAAGGCTGAAGTCCTCTTGTGTAACTTTATGCCATGCAAATAATGTCATCTTCCCACAATAGTATTATTTAACTGAATTTAACTGAAAGCTTCCCACCCCCCACCCACCCTGTTCAAATGGTCTCTAAGGCTCCCTTTTGAGCTGAGGAAGCCTTTGAGCCTGGGATGGGAGGAACCCTTAACATCCAATAATCGCTGCCGGATTTTGGGTGATGTGACAGGGTTGCAAAAATCACTGGTATTTGAATTTCAGAAAACAAACCAGCAACTATTGGTTAATGGTTTCGGATTGGTAGCCAAGGATTTTTGAAAACTCCAATCACTGACATTAGTGTAGGGAGGAAGATGACTTGTTCTTGCTTCCCTATATTTTTAATTTCTCACCTTAATATTTGGTGCTTTGTAATGTCTGTATTTTTCTATACTTTTGAGGTTGCTTGTTGATGGATGATGGTGGTGTTGGTGCAATTATTAGTAGGTGAACATCTTAGCACCATGGTGTGCAGTTGCTTTGGTTATGGGCTTTTGTCACCCTTGTTCCATTGCCACCTTTGTAGTTGTCACCCTCATTTTCCAACCTCACTTGGTCCTTGCCCTTCCGCCATCTACTCTGCATACATAAAACATTATACTCCATGAGTCTGAGGAAGCCGCTTGTGATTCACAAAAGCTCACACTGAAACAGATTGGTTAGTGTTTCAGGCACCACAACTGTTTTTTGTTTTTACTGTACATACGGAAGCAGGAAAATAAAGTTACGTCATCAAAAACTTCTTCAAATGTGACATCTCTAGTAATATTTGACTACTGTTCTCATTGTCCCCAGCCAGTGCTGGCTGATGGGAGCCGTAAGGCACCACATCTGGAGGGCCCAAGGGGAGCAATCCTGGAGCAAAGATAATCAGAATCTGCTCTTGTTTTACTAGAGATTATTGTCTTAAGTAACAGACGCTGCATTGTGCAAATGCCTTTCCTATCATCCTGTTTGCTGTTGTTAAAATGAGTAATGTCCTAGGAATGTGTGACAATTTAATTACAAATTGTAATTGAAAAGTAGTTGAAGTGGAAATAAAAGCAAAGGCAGGCATCAATTAAGGAAAGATTTAGCTCTCCTTTGTTTTGCTTGTTAAATTTATAGACAATTATGGATGCTTGTTCTTGTGAAGGAAAAACACAGGAGGAAAAATAAAACAGATGTTTCCTTTTAACAAAGCAGATTGTGTCTACTTTATAAGTGCTGTCTATTTGTGGTAAAGTTCTGTTAAGGAAGCTGCCCCCCCCTTGTTATCAATTAAGAGGAGGAAGTAGTTATGAATATTATGACCATTATTCTCTAATGGATAAATAGCCTATATATACCAAAATGAAGAGATCTTATTGTATTGGAAGATTGCATTACCCAGGCTAAGAGTGTACTGAAATGTGAGTCTTAAATGGCTTCAAGCCTCTCTCACACCATTCCTGTATCCCACGAGGGCTTCAAATGACTTTGCTTTAAATCAACTGTTAAAAAAATGTGAACAAGCAAACACACATCTGTTCCTTCCATGTGCTTTAGCAGCATTCACATTCAAGACAAAATGAATACGGCATTACTGCATTTGTACCGAAGAGAAGCTCAAATGTGCTTCTTTCTGGCATTTATGGAAAAGTTGTGTAATGGGCATGGATTATGTAGAGTAAGCTGGTGGTACTATTAGGCAAGATAAAACACAGCCCCTCTGAATTATAGAGTTTGAAGCATAATTAAATAGCAACAATATGGTAAAATAATGAGCAAAATATATTTCTGTCATCCTGATTGTGGTGGTGGGGGGTCCATTTTTTAAAAAATACACAAACATGTCTCTAGTAGTCTTTTAATACAGAGCACAGAATGAAAGTCAGATATTTGTACAGGAAATGACAATTCCTTGCATTTTCAATCAATTGAAAGAGGAACTATTTTTAGCGTAATATATGAAAATGACTTTAGGATCAGACTTTTAGCAGCGGTAAAAAGGTCAGCAGGTAGACTGACAATCCAGGCCTCTAATAAAGGAAAGGAATGCAGTAAGTCCTCTTTTGATTTAACCAGTGATTCAGGCAAATCATAGGGCTGGTTTGGAACCTGACTCAAAATATATCTTCCTTCAATCTCTCCCAGTGACTCAGGGCCAACGTGACAATGTTCACTGGGCATCTCATGTATTGTGATGGAGCAAATTCAACTCTTCACCTACATGTATCTGAATTTTCTAAAAATGTACACTGGATTAGTTTTGGGATATTCTAAAAAGCTAAGCAAGAATTCCAGTGTATTGAGGGCCAGGGTTACGTTATAATGTACACTTCTTGTAGTATGAGGTATTTCCTGACTCCCAGTCTTCCCTTGAAGGTAAAAAAAAATCTTGATTTTCCCCAAACGAAGCCAATCTATAGACAACAGAGCATATTGCATCTCCCTTGCTGTCTCATAATTCATTGAGAGATGGCATGAGATACTTTTTTTGTTCCAATATACATTAGGACCACTGTATATGTGAGAGATTGGTTCCCAACTCCCTTACAGATGCAGAAAAATGGATCATAGCGAACCTTATACATGGCATGGTCCCTGGCTCCATCTAGTGGTCAGTTATCATAATTACATTGTTGAAAATGCACTTCTGGGGTTTTTCTTTTAATATTTTTTAATATTTTCAGACCACGAATAAATGAAACCATGGATACTGAACCCATGGATACGGGGGTTCAACTGTATTACATTGGCTACACCCCCTTGGCCAAAAATCCTAAGGTGGTAAAAAGTCATTGATTGATTGATACAGGTTTCATTTGTGCAGACAAAATAAAACATAGCTTATATATATGGTAGGAAGAAACATCTTTGAAAATTGTTTGCAACTGCAAATGTGACATCATAGCAGGATACCTAAATTGTAATGTAGGATCTGTGTGGATTCAGTAACAAAACATGGTGAAATTGGAAGGACTAACAACCTGATGCATGAGAGTTAAGAATTCTATCACCCAGAGGGGCACAAAAGACCATTAAGTCCCATCAGACACTTTACGTAAAGTGTAAGAGAGGCTAATAAATGTTTTGAAGATGTGTTCAATGGTGCAAGAGGTTGGGGCACACTCAGAATACTGTCACAATTAACTTGGATTCCCTACCATGTCTGCTCACTTTTCAAAACCCATAACTTTCCTCTGTAATGAGTTTCTTCCTGAAGGATAATGGATGCGCAAGACTGTGATTTACGGAAAAACGTAATTCATAGATTACTGAAAGTGCGGGGAAAGCTAGTCCCTTTTGGGTTAACATATTTTGTAATAGAAGGCAGGAAGGTTACTAAAACTCCTGATTTCTCTAATGTTAGCAGAATGCTTTTAAAACAGAAATAGCTGCCCTAAGAAAAAAATATATTCCATGAAAAAATGGAAATCGGGTTCAGAGAGGATCAGATTGATCAATTCAAGAAGCTCCCAAAGGATGTGATAAAAATTAATACTAATTCCTGTCAGTCTTAGTGACAGGTGTCTTCTGACATGTGTTTTTTTTTTTTTGTTATCCTATCCACATTGTAACATGTTTGTCAAACATCAGTTGAAGAGGCAATTCCTACAGCATGCTTTCCCCTCTTTAATTAAGGTATGTCAACTTTTTTACAGGTATTTGACTGCCATTTTCTTCCCAAAGAAATAAAGTACACACACAATGGATGTCCAATTCTTGATGAAGACTTAGTCCTGCTGAGGTTATATAGGTAAGCAATGTCTGTGGCAATCAAGGGGGCATTTCTGAATAAATACAAGCCTTCTTAGTACACATGCATAATTAACTATGTAAAAACAGTGGCAAATGTTGTTCATTGTGGTTGGTGGGAAAGCCGAGCAACTGCCAATAGGTGGAATCAGGAGGAAGTAGATATCTACTCACTCGCTGGTAAGTGCGTGCACATGTGCATGCACACAGAAACACGCATGCATGCATGAATGTACACACATACACTCCAAACCTGGAAAGCATTCATAGGGTGGATAGCCAGACTCACTTGCCCAAATGGATGAACCACCATTTTGTCAATGGCATAGCTGCACAATGAGGGTCCCTTTGTATTCCATGGATTGGCAGCTGGACATCCCCCACCCCCTTCACGGTGTCATCAACTCCAGCTCCTTTCAGCGAGGCACAGTGGGGAAGTGAACTCCCAACCTCTGGCTCTGTGGGCAGAGACCTAAAACACTAGTGTTGTATAACTGCATGATGCTGTTTTCGTTTTCATTTTTTTCCTGTATTATAACAAAGACAAAATTCAACGTCCCCATTTATTGCAACTGAATATCTATGCCGAAACTCACATAATTGATAGACTCCTTGGTCTGTCAATAAGACTATGGATCTCCTTCTTGCTGTTGGTTGAAGACGTTACCATCAGCAATCAGGGGAACAACTTTGATTCTAGACATACCATGTCTCAGGTCAGGAGGTTTGTGACCTTGTCCTGGAAGACTGCTAGTTAATCAGACATTAAGACCGGTTCAAGGCTTCCAGATCCAAAAATAACTAGAACGTCTCTTTAAAAGCACTTCAGTTTCAGAGCTGGCCTATGTGTTGTTTCAGCACGTGTTTGAGTACTGTTTCTGGGTAGAGACTATGGTTTATAAATAGATAATTATAAATAAGAATGTATCAGACAATATACTGGGCAATAATGGACGCAGTATAAAAATAAATAAGGATATACCAGACAATGTTCTTGGCAATACCAAACAAACATATTATAGAATCTTTTGGCTGATATACTGTAATACTACTTGTACTTCCTGATTTCGCAATTTCTCCATAATCTGTTAAAAAATTGTGATCATTAAAAGAAATCCTGGATTAGCCTAATACTCTTCTTCTCAGTCCACTTATAACCTGAGCCCTAATTGAAACTGATGGAGCCTTTTGAATGCAAAATTTGTCCGTAGGTGTGTTTGTGACAGCTTATCCTGAAAGCTCTTTTATAACTCCAGATACAGTGGTCCTGGATGCCTCTTCATTCAGGCTTTTCCTCAGGTTAGGGGACTGAGATTGCTTTGGTAACCTTGGCAGATAGCCTTTGGCAGATACAGCATAGGGGAAGAGTGACCTTGTTTGACCTCCTGGATCTGTCAGTGGCTTTTAATAGCACAGAGTACAGTGGTGCCTCACATAACGAGCGCACCGTTGAATGATGAATCTGCATTACAATGCGGATTTCCCCATCGCTAATGCGAGGGCATGCTCGCATTACGATGGGGGAAAAAGGTGTTTGGCGGTTCCAAAATGGCCGCTGGAACACCAAAAATGGCCGCTGGGACACCAAAAATGGCCGCCGGGACACCCAAAATGGCCACCGGAACAACCAAAATGGCCACAGAACACCAAAAATGGCCACCGGGACACTGAAAATGGCCGCCGGAACATGGGAAAACATCGGAGAACGGTGAGTTTTGGGCCCATTTGGAATGCATTAAACGAAGTTTAATGCGTCCAAATGGGTTTCCCCGTTCCACTTAACGATGTTTTCCCATAGCGAAGGTTAATCCGGAACGGATTAACCTCTATGCGGGGCACCACTGTACTGTATTCTGTTGAATGGCTTCCCTGGGCTGGAAATGTCCATCACTGTATTGCAGTGGTTCCTAACCTTTGTGTCGGGGCAAATTCAAAAGTTGGTACTGTTGAAGAACTGTTCAGCACCATGACTTTGCCATATAATGTCCATCAGGGCTTTACATTATCCTCTGTATTATTTCACATCTACGGGAAGCTGCTCAGATAGGTCATTGGAAGCCGTCAAGAGAGGCACTACCTATATGCTGGTGTCTCCCCGCTCTTTTGCTCATTGTCACCTAACACTGATGCAGCAGTCGGCATCTTTGAACTGTTCCTGAACTTGATAATGGACTGGATGAGAGTGGGCAAGCCAAATGAACTCCAGACAAAGCTGAGGTACTGCTGGCCAGGAGAAAATGAGGCTCAAAGATTAAGATACCACCACTCTCTGACAGGTGAAGATGTCTAGTCCTGGAATTTTCCTTGACTCATCGTTTTCTCTGGATCCCAGGTGGCAACAGTGATAGAGTACCATATTTCCCCATGTATGCACCCATGTATAAGACACCCCACACTTTTCTAGCCGCCCCGAGTAGACATGGTCTAGAGGGGCGGGGTATAAATTTAATAAATAAATAAATAAATAAATAAATAAATAAATAAATA